GCTTCATAATGACACAACTTATGAAACAATTTAAACTTAATTTTTACTCCTTGTACACTTTTATTATTAAAGATTTACAATGCATTAAAGCATTATTTCAACATGCATTATTTTTTTATGATATTTAATTAAAGGAAGATAACAAAGATTCAATTTCTATTCTATGTGTCAATGAAATATGAAACAAAAAGTAAAAACAAATTTTTTCTCAAGAATTGCAATTATACTTTTTCTTTAAATTTGAATTCATCGATGCTTATTGTCAACAATGAATTTTACAATCCGCCGTTTTTATATGTAGTACAGTTGTAAGGAAAACATATTTCATGAATTCCAGATATACCCATTTGCTTCATTGATATTTGAATGACATCTGAACATTTTATATGCATTATTTTTCCTAAATAATTGTAATGAAATATAGCAATTAATATCTCCCTTATCATTCCAATTTTTTAACATGATTTTTTTCTTCATTATCGGTAATGATTCGGTGTCATTATATTGGCATCGAATTTTCAATGAATTCCATTTTCTTCCAACTACTTATTGTTCCTTTCGTGAAAATATAATAATCTCTCTATACTTTTACTATTTCAATTTCATCTTTAATTTACTTCTGAACTACGAAAATAGTATGGAATTTTTCAGATTAACATATGCTAATTCCTCAAATCTTTTCCTATCTAAATGACGAGTTCATCTTGTGTCATCAATTTAAGTCGAACTAGGTGTTTATTTCCCCCAACATCACCTTCTCCGTACAATCTAGCAAAATACTTTCATTCTTTGTTCAGATATCAATATAGAGATTTTTCCCATAAACTTATATTTGAATTAGAATCAAGGTAGATCACTGCATTTGTCGTCATATATTTAAAGTAAGCATTTTTAACCCTTTAACACAGATGGGACACCGGTGACTCTTTTATAGATTTTTTTGACGATTTAATTATAAGTAAAAATACATTTTTTTAAATTTTTTAATTATAAAAAGCAGTCCAATAATTACTATGAATCTCCCTAAATTACAATCTAAATCTGTCAGATTATTGGAATTATATTCGTACTAAAAATAACTTAAAAAACGTAGTTTAAATTTTTTAAAATTAATATTCAAAATTTTATCAATAATTGATTTTGTAAATGAAAGAAATTTCCATGAATTATTGCTTCTCTTAGATCTAAATAGCTGCAAATAAGTACAAATTTGAAAAATCATTGTTTGGAAGTGAGCTGTGCTTGGAAGATCTTACATTTAACGCAGAAAGAGATGCAAGTGTTTCGTGCTGTATGTCATGAAGCATGAATTATTAATATGCTAATTTTTCCACTAATTTTGACCTAGATACAAAGTAACGAAAAAAGTATGAAAAATATGTTTAATAAAAATTCTGCTTCAAAAGGTTAAAGATTTAATCACATAGTTATTTAATGTACGAAAATGCCATTAAATTTTTTAAAATTCATATTCAAAATTTTATCAATAATTGATTTTGTAAATAAAAGAAATTTCCATGAATTATTGCTTCTCTTAGATCTAAATAGCTGCAAATAAGTGCAAATTTGAAAAATCATTGTTTGGAAGTGAGCTATGTTTGGAAGATCTTACATTTAACGCAAAAAGAGATGCAGGTGTTTCGTGCTGTATGTCATAAAGCATAAATTATTTTCTGCTAATTTTTCCACTAATTTTAACCTAGATACAAAGTAACGAAAAAAGTATGAAAAATATATTTAATAAAAATTCTGCTTCAAAGGGTTAAAGACTTAATTACATAGTTATTTAATGTATGAAAATGCCATGTCCTTATATTTGAACTTAATATTTATGTAAATTTCATAATGTTTTATGGAAACTTTGATAAAGTAGGACTTACCAAAAATAATAGAACTTAAGTTCTACTTGAGAGGAAACTTAGAAAGCTATATATTGAAAAATCTATTTGAATTGTTTTCATTTTTCTATTCGTATATCTTGATATTTTTTTTGTTATTTTTCAAATTCAGTGAGTTAAACTTTCTTGATACTTGCCTGTTTGATCACGAATGATAAAAATCTTCTATCATTTTGTCATGCTCGTGATTTTGTTTTAAGTTATAATTTATCATCCTCCCCCCAAATTACATATACAATTGGATCAGAAGGTTTGAGTAAGAATTAACTATTTTGGAGTGCACCTTTTTTTTCTTTTGTAGGAAAAATTGCTTCGGAAAAGCACTAAATTTGCTTTATCTCGTTCATACCACCTCATTTCTTACTTTTAGGATTCATCAATTTGCCTTTTTTACTTCTGATATCTTGAATCATGTCATTTATTTTATTAATTCTGGAAATTTGGAAAATAAGGAATGTTTTTTTTTTCTGTTCCCAGATTCTTACCGCCCTTTTCCCTCATTTCTGCAGGATGGGGTGTCATGCTTGTGATGTATCTACAGTAAAAAAAAACCGAAAATACATTGAGTAATTATAATTTCGCATCTTCTTTTCTATGAATGAGTAATTTCAAAAAATATTATTTTCAAGAATTTTAAATTATTAAACCTTAAAAAGGAAAATATTACTTCTCGAAGTATTAGAATCGAAATTTTGCTTTAAATTTAAAGATTAAAAAAGATAAAAGTGTGTGTTATCGTGACACTTTTAAGGATGGTAAATTTTTAATTTTATAATTTTTTCAAAATTTTTATGGAAATATAAATTATTTCCCTTAAACTGAGCTTATTTGTTTACATATATGAAGGGAATATAAAAATAAGAACGCGTTTATTTTATATTCTATCAGTCAAGGAACTGGTTTGGTTGCAAATTAACATTGATTTAAGTCTAGTTATTTAAGGATATTCGTGACAACATTGTTTAATTCTTTTCTAAACTCAAAAATAAGATATGAATTAGATTTTCTAGAATATGTATTATTTTGAAATGTAATTAATAAACTATACGAAGAAAGCTATTCTTTAAGCACTTAGAAACAATTAATAGTTTCGATTTATGAATTAACAGATTAATCTAGGGATGATTCACTGTGTCTTATAAGTATGGAAAAATACGCCACCTTTTTTAAATATAACAATAACAAAAACATTTCCTAATAAATTTTTATCTTTTATCGAATATTACTGCAAATATTACAAAATATCAGTGAAATCGGTGGACTCCTGAAAAATCGAATTTTAACTACACAACTTTTTAAAAATATGATTTCTCGAGAACTATTCGACCGATTTCTCTCAAATTTTGTATACTTCCATGTCAAATTTACATACTTTAAATTGCAAAGTGTAGATTTTTTTTACATCAATTTAAACTTTTTTCGACTAGTATTAAACAAAAATAATAAAGAAATAATATTTTCCAAAATTTATTTTTTGCACGGAAATATGTTCGGACAAACGAATTTTATAATAGTGTGCAAAAATGTTTAAATTGGCCAAAAATTTTCTCGAGATATGGTGAAATACGCAAAAATTAAAATTAGCATCGAAGGGTCTAAATTTTGGATCACTCTCCTGACCAAAGTATGGGGATCATATTTCAGAGATATGGTCCCCATACCTCCTATATTTTGGTTACCTCCTATATTTTGGAGGATTAGAAATCCAAATCCGTAGAAAAAAAATTATGTACACTCAAAGAAAGAACGTTTTTGTGTCTGATTTCGTAAATTAAAATATCGTCTGCATTAATTATAGAATAGTTGAGGTTACCCATTACAACCATTAAGATTGAATCCCAGAACGTAAAGATTCAATCATTAAATCAAAAGTTATACAGAGTATTCCGCCTTTCTTTTATTTATTTTTATTTTTTACGCGCTGTACATTTGAATGAAGAGTCATTTTCACAGTTTATGCTTGATCAATAAAATAAAATTTTACTAACAAGCCATCGATTATTTTTTGGTTTGGATACATATATGTAATTGCTTAGCTTCATTGTAAAACTGAAATCTATAAATTTGCTCAACTATCAGGCATTAATTAATAGATATCTTCCATGATAAGTTTCGTCAACAAAAATTTACAAGCATTTCACCAAATCATTATCAACTAAGTTTTCCTCACTCACCAAACAACATTTTGATGAAAAATATTTTTGAAAATAAGTAAATATATACATAAATAAAACTTTGCGATAGATTCACTCTTTTAAGATGTTAAACGATATTAATCAGATTTTGCTTATATTACTGCTTGCTACCAAAGGCAGCAAGCAGTGAAAAACCCCAACCAGTTCACCTGAACCAGTTGTGCATGTTTATCATTATTTACCATTAATGCTGTAATGAGTGTAGTAGTAAAATAAAAACAAAACAAATAAAAATTTGAAAACAGTTTCTTTTATTTTTAGATTGTATCTCATGAAAAAGACTGGAGATGCTACGCCGAAACATACAAAAGGCATAAAAAAAACTTATTTTTATGTCACAAAATAACAGCTTTGAGGGAGAAAATATTTTAAAAAACAACTTCAAAACACTAAACATCGTGTTCAAGATATGATATAGTACGATGAGAAACATGAAAATAGCGTCACACAATAATTACCAGCTAAAGCACTGTGGCAAAAGAAAAAAAAACATAAGGAAGGATATGATTCAAGCACTGTATAGTGCGTGTCTGTTGTATAATATATAAAACGGCATTTCACATTTATAACAATACATTTCAAGCATGAGAAGTTGTTTATTTAACTCATAGCAACCTTGCTTATTGTAAAATTAATTTAAATTATAATATTTTCATATTTGTTTCAAACAACTTTTTAATAATTATGCATGCAAATTAAAACCAGTTTAGTAAGGACTCAAAAATTAAGCATTTTATCAGCCAATAATTTAAAACGTTAATTTATATATATTCGGGCTTATTAATAGAGTAAATTCCCAACTATTATTTTTTTAAAAATATTTTCTTTAAACTTGAGAATTAGTGAACTGATACTTATCGGTTGCTAAAGGTTTGGATGATTGTAAATGTTTTTATTCCCGCGTTTGTAATATTCCAAATTGATATTTACAGATTACATTTAGTTTTTTATTAAAAAAAATCATGCAAGAAATTAAGCTTATTATTAAGAGGAACAGCCAATTAAAATGTGTCTCATTTATTTAAAAAGATTGTTTCATTATTCTAAATATATACACATTTTCTTCATTTCGTAGAAGCTTATTAAAATTTTATAAATTCTTATTTGATCAAGCGCATAACTTAGCTGTCTGTTATAAAGTAGATAGAGCATTCACATAACTTTTAATTTATGAGTCCTCAAAAACAATTTTATGAATAGTCAATAGTTTTTGCCAATTATATAACTGCATTCTGTACGAAATTTTGTAAGCATTTAAATTAGTACTTGAAATACTTAAGAAAATTATAAGAGCGAGAAAATTTTTGCAAGATTTTTTTTAGTTTAAAATTTATAGGCGCGGTCGTCAGGAGCATTCTGATCTAATTATAAGTACAATTAAGGACTGTGGCACAGTAACCTTCTTGTGCGTCGACTGAACTTTCCACGTTTAACTCTACAATTTATGCCTTGGACGTTTTTCTGTGATATTAAAAATTTGGGGATATGTTTCACATCATTACAATCAGTTGTCAATGATATGATTCATAGTAAATGTATTTACTGAAACTAACTCTATCGTCAATTAACTTTTAAAATATATCAGTTCAACGAACAGTTGATCATGTTGAAGTCATTTTTATGCTTCATATGTATGGTATAATCAATCATAGAATAAATTTAATATTTTATACACTATCAGAAAAACTTAACAAGAAACTCACCATTTTAACAAATACATTTTTTTAAAAGTTGAAGGACTAAATGAAAGACTGAAAACCGATCTACGCGAAGCATAGGTTATCGGAACACATTGCGCAAAATGGATTCTTCCACGTTACAAGGAACATGCGCAGGAGACGAAAAAATGTATACAAAGATTCTTTTGAAGCATCTGACGTCATCTACTAAGAGAAATAATCGTGCTATATGAGTGCCACTTGCAAAGGAATGTGTTGCTGCTAACTCAAGCATCTGCACTATTCATGAAATCGTTGGTGTGTAGTACTAAAGAAGGCTATAGACCAAAACACATGAGCAATAGCTTATCAGAGGAGGCATAATTATCTTCTTTTGTTTTTGGTACAATTTATTAAATTTTATTATTAAACTAGAAAATAATACTCATAGAGAAATGTGGCCTGTGATATGCTTTGATCACATGAACGACTAGATCCTCAAATTTCTGGTCCACTAGATAAGATTTTAACATTTAATTTTTTGTCGATTTCATGTAAGTTTTATTAATTTTTTTTTAAAAAAAACCTATGACCATTTTTACCATTTGAAGATCCAAAAGAATAATGAGAATAAGTAGACCGCTCTGATGTATGTAACAATTACGATATAAAATCCGAGACTTGTTCGATTTGGGATTAATTCTCGAGTCAGTGGAAGTTCGTGGCTTAAGTCTCAGTTAATGCAACCAGAGTCCAGGAATAGATCCAACCTGATAAAGAGTCATATATTTGTATTTTCAACCAATCGGTGAATTAAATAGAATAATTTATTTGGTTTTCTTTAAGGATATGACATTCAAAACCAGGAGGCATGAAATTGCAATCTCTGGGTGATTTGCGATATGTCGTGGTTGCAAATTTTCATGAAGGCCACACCGAAATTTTCATAGCAGACGGAGGAGCAAGGCACCCACGACTATATAAATGGAAGCACGTAAGAAGGACCCCAATCCGCATTGCTGTTCAATGCTATTTTCCTGTAAATAAATAAATGGGATTGTGATTTCATTTTAAGTAAAACACTGAATATGTTAATATTATTACAACACAAAAATTCACAATTCTTTTCAATGTGATTACACATGATGTCCAGTGGATGACTTACTAATTTCAAAATTAAAAATCACTGAAACAAAGAGTGATAGAGGAATGAAACAAACGATATGTTTATTGCAAAAGGCTGTAAAATTTTTATACAGGAATTTTGTATTTTACTTACAAAATTTACTAAAAAAATCAAACGGAAAAAAATTTACTGGTTCTGCAAGCTATGTATGAACTGAGGTATAAATTTTAGTGTTAAAATGTGAAAGGAGGTTATCGAACCAAATTAGTTTTCTTAGCTATTCTACTCGAAGATAACAATGCGTGTTTCTAGTAATGGAATATCACAATTTAGATTAGTCTTTCGGTATTCGCATTCTTTTCACGAACAGAGTAACGCGTTATATGTTGACAACTCCTTTACAACTAAATTCTGTATAAACTTTTTAAAGCTTCATAATAAACATACTTTTTGTTTCATCCCTGTACAGCTCTTTGATGTCGAGATTTTTAATTTTGAAATTAATGAGTCACTGGCTGGACATCCTGGCATTAACTAGCAAAACCTTACCAAATTCGCTTACTTTTTTCCATACAACACTGTTAAATTACAAAACATAGCAGCTAACAGAAATGGCGTATTGTATTGTTATTTAGTAAAACATTAAGTAAAACTACAGCAACAACAATCTAAGCAGTAGTTCATCATTATATAAACAGTTTAGATCAAAGTTTTTAATAACATACTTTGCTTATCTCAAACTTAACTATTTTCTGGGCCCGGAAATTTATAATTAAACGCAAAATATATTTAAAATCTTTATAAAAGCTATTATGAAAGCTTTGGAAAAAAAACTACAACCTTATAACTCACAATTTCGTAACAAGGCTGAATGCAATACATTTTAATGAATAAACGGAAAAAATATTTGAATATATTAATTCATTATCATTTCTTTTCATGTCTTGGTACATAAGGTACTTTGGTTTTCCGTCGTTTTCAGCCACTTTCATCTCTTACTTGCTGGCCCGTCCAGGCTTAATGCTCTCTTTTTTCATCATCGTGTTTCATGTAAATTTTCGGCCTTTTCTTCTGGGGCTCAATCAAATGCAACTTCAAAAATTTCATCCTTGACCATTCTTAGAATATATCCAGTAAAGCGCCATAAGCAAATAATTCTTTATTTCTTAAATAACTAAGTATACTAACATTAATTAGTTGTTTTGGCTTATCCTCTAACTGTCCTGCTTGCTAGGAAGTAAGGAAGGGTAGGTGCCAGACAAAAAGAGCACACCACCATAAGCCAACACAAACTTCTACCTATTTAGTGGTCAAATTCCTCAGAACAACAGAAGCTGCAATTCATCTCCTTCCCTTTCTGGTTCTCGATTTTCTGAAGGTTAACGATCTAATGGAATTTGTTTTACTTAGTTAATATTAATTGGTTATTATTTACCATTAAAAATTCTAAAAGGACATTCATATAATTTTGCTTTGGGTACCATGAAAGTAAAATCCTTTTTTTTTCTGTCTGAATACGACACTTAAGGTCATCGGAAACTTATCAAGTAACTTTTGAACAACGTTTCAAAGACGATCACATGTGTCTAAAGTTAACAAGAAGTGATAAGATAATTCTTAGACATTCTTTTTCGAACACTATTACACAGTTTTGAAGCCAAGTTTAATATTGATATTGATACTTACTTCTGGATGATGGTGGACGCATTTTTCAGGTAATTTTCTCAATGTACCATTTCTCATTCTTTGGCATCTTTCTTCTTCATCATATACAATTTCATTTAGTTCTAAAGAATGACTATAACTTTCAGAGACTGTAATATTATCACATGCACACTCACTATATGTAACCACCATTACTAAATTCGTGTAAGGAACTTTTTGTATGATGTAGTTCCTAAAATTAATAATAAAAATTAGTTTGAGCAATTTAACTATACAATTTTAAATAATTTTGAAGTATGTTAAACCATATTACCGGGTGAACTTACGGTCACCTTATATGAATTCAAGTTGACTTTAACAAGAGTCATTTCAATTAAAATAAAAGGATATGATTAAATTTAAACAAAAAGTGTAATTCAGGTTTAAAGCTTATTAATGCTGTAGTAAATTTTAGCGATCCAACAGAAAGTTGCGTTGTGTACTTATTTTTTAGGTTGCATCTGACGTAAGTACGCTAAGTCGTCCTTACACTTTCCTCCGCAACTCCAAGAAAAATAATTTTGTACATTTTCAACTGTTTCAACTTCATTGTAATTATTTTAAATCATTTTTTAAGTCTTCAAAATATACTTACTTGGTATAAAGGTGAGTTTTGACCAGATATTCAGATTTTGCCTATTAAATGTTTGTCTATATGCTTTTCACGAGAAAACATTTCTGAACGATTCAGAATTCATGAAGTTAATACATTTAAATTTCATTTAAATTAAAAATAGCAACAAAAAAAACATACAATGTTGTGATACTCATGATCGTAAGCTCTCTCAAATCGTACCAGAAAAGAAGTGGAGACCACGACCAAGGGAGTCACCGGGATGGGATAGCCGTGTCGGGTTTGATCATGATACTGAGCGCCTTAGACTATGATTTACTTTAAAATGGAAGGCATATTCAAAGACCGACAATTTCAATCGATTGCCGAATGGCTCAGGAAATAGAGCATTCGCCTTCCAATGAGGTGAACCGGGTTCGAATCCCAGCAATGACTGGTCGATACGAATTCTGCATCCGGCTTGAACAGACCACAGTGCTGATGTCTAATATCCTCAGTGGTAGACGGATCATGGGAATGAGTCACCTTGCCGTCAAGCAAACCGTGGGAGGTTTTCGTGGATTTCCTCTCTATGTAACTGAAATGCGGGTTAGTTTCATCAAAAAAGTTCTCCTAATACCTGATCCAGGAGCTCCCTTTTTCTTCTGGATTGGGTTCAAAATTATGAAGCAACGGAGCTGAACGGATTTCTCAGTCGTAAACTGAGAAATTGAGTTGACTGTTTAACGACGGTTATAAAAAATGAAATCTATTCCAGAGTGCCTTTGTGTCTCGCTCGCTTAGCAATGAGATGAGCCGGGTTCAATCCCAGCGATGCCTGGTCGATACGAATTCCGCACCCTGTTCGCCTCGATCACAGTGCTGACGAAAAATATCCTCATTGGTAGACGTCAGGCTAACCGGACTCAGTGGTCAGGCTAACCGTGGGTGATTTTCCTCTCCATGTAACGCAAATGTGAGTTAGTTCCAACAAAAAGTCCTCCACGAATGAAAAATTTCTCATAATATTTACTCCAGGAGTTAACTTTTCTTCTATATTAGGTACAAAAGGACAAGGCTACGAAGTTGAATTTTAGTAGCAGTAAACTTAAAATCGGATCTGCTGTTCAACGACGGTTATAAAATAAAATCTTATGCAAAAGTTCTTGCTATTGTCTGCAGATTTTACACTAACATCCTCAGGGCATATTTTACCCAAGACCTCCGGAACTTTCCAAGTCTAATAACAGAAGAGCATTAAGGTGTTCAGGGTGATATCTAACTGAAGAAACATCTGTTTTTTGTAAATAAATTGTTATCCCCTGTGTGTCAGCATTTGTGTTATTCATTTTTATAAGACTTAAATTACATGAAGCAGATATTTTTTATTTTTTTCTTCAAATAGCAGCAATTTTTTACATGTTGTTCAATAAAACACATATTTAATTTAAAATGTATTGAAAATTTCATCAAAATTTGCATAATTAACCTATTTTATAGGTTAGTAAAAATTCTTACAAGCATATAAAATAGATAATAAGTATTAAAAAAATATTTTTAAACTCTCACACTTGCGAAAATTTTACCTAAAATTATACGAATGTTATTCACTGAAAGTCTATAAAAAGAACACACCTATCGCAATCTTCAAATGAACTGCAATTTGGAAGAACACCTTTCGTAGGTTCCCAAGAATCTGTTGGTCTCATTTCATAAAGATAGAATTCCTTATCACAAGGTCGAGGTCTTGTTTTGTTCGGTGTGAATTGGTCTTCTTCATAGGTATCATCGTAATAGTAATCTAAGAAGGTAAAAGGAAATAAATTGGCGGTTAAACGATTCTAAATACTAAAATAAAGCCTGCAAGTGACTTACTAAGAGGAGACTGCTGTGATTTAATTCATCACACGCGGAAACTCTTAGAATACGGAAGCGGAATTTTACTGATATTTGAAAGTTAGATTTACCTAGTTGACCTTAGAATTGATATATGTTACAGCTATAAATGCCTCTTTGTTTATTTTAATTTTCGCAATTAAAATAAGTAGAACAGTTCAAGTAATTAAAACAGTAATTTTTACTACGTCAGCAGTTGCTCTATCAGGAATTTAAATTTACTTAATTTTAAAAAAAAATTCGAATATGAATAGCACAACTATAAACTAGTACGAAAATGATATTATCGCTTCTAATAAGAAATTTGCTAAAATTGGTTAATAAATTTTCACAACTTTTATAAATTTTTGAGTAAGAGGATATTTTACAGTAATAAAGTGTTTTGGTGCTTTCGTTAAGAGATTTTGCATCAAGTGACTATTTTAATTTCAAAAAGCGACCTTGTTTGTTATAAACAATTTTACTTTACTTTCAGCAAAATAATTTTTCTATTTACATTGATATTGTTTTCTACTAATTTAATTTAAACTCTTGTAAGTAAATAAAGTTTATTTTCTCTTGTCATTTTTGTTTACCTTGTTTTTTTCCTAGATTATTCTACGTTATTTTGTATGTTGCGTAAAATGTTTAACTGTTTTTGAGATTCTCAAATGCGATTGTTAACTACCGTTTACTGCAATGTTCGGTTCCAGCTCATTATTCCTAACATAATGATTATATAAAAATGCATGCTTTTTAAATAAATTGAAGTAAATATATATCTTTTTTAAAATTCAACTTTATTTCCGTTACTTGAGGATTAAAATTCGTTGAAGCATTTATGAAAGCAATATTTTTAACGAAATTTTATCTGATACTTGGATCAAAGCGTTTCACAGAATTTTTAATAGTAATTTAAACTTATTTTATTTAATCGAATCAATAAAAAGGGGCATCAAAATCTATAGTGATTTTCTCTGTAAATGTGAAAAGCTAATTAAAAACTGTTGTTCAATGTTTAACTTGCTGACAAGTTCCACTTCAAATATTTTTTTTTAAAGTAGACTTTTGATTTTGTATTTTATTTGTTAAATTTCAAGCATAATTTATGTATCATGTCATAAATAAATAAAATGTTTACCTGACGCTTGGGCCATTTTGATTCCATTGTCTGTAAACCACGGTAACACATTTGTTTGCACAAATATCCTAAAATAATAAACAATCTGTATTAATTACTATTGCTTTTACTTTGCATGATTAATATTTTAATAGAGCTTGACCACTTTAATGTATTAAAAAATTCAGTTTAACTGATGTTACTAAGTGATTCTGAAAAAGGGTAGCATTGTAATCGCAAAAAACCTACATATAATTTTTCTTTTAATTAAAAACGATAGAATTATTTTTAAATATAATAGTCGAAAGTGTTTAAATTAAATTCTGAAATTGATACAAATTACATATGTATAGTACATTGTTTATTAATAAGCCCGGTATTAAAGAATTAAAGTTTTCTAGATTTTAAAAAACATGCTATTGACCTTTTCAAAAAGAAATTTTTACAGTTTAAAATTTTTTATAATTGTTAAGGAAAGTGGAATTTTTATCAAAATATACTCAAAACATTTATTCTATTAATTCAAATGAAATACTTTAAATATTACTTAATAAAATATTGTTATGATTTTAGTAATATATATTAATTTAAAAACAATTAATAAATTTTATTTTGTGCCATAAATTATTTAAAATTAGAAATATTACACAACTAATAATCATGCCAAATAATCTAATATTTAGAAAAACTATGAATGTTTATATAACTTTATTTTATTTTTCAGTATAAGTTCGATAATAATAATATATAAATTAAAGTATTTCGAAAATATCGTTCATTTTTAACCTATTCTACGTAATAATATGATTAATATAGTTTCTCTGTTAGCAAAATAATTAATGGTTGTTTGTTCTAATCTGATTTTAGACGCTATTAAAAATTGTTGAAACAATATTTCTAAGAAAAAGTTAGTATTATTAAATTTAGCTAGCACTATATTTATATCCGTTTTACAAATAAGTTCACTGACTATTATAACACTATTTCTTTTGTAATGTATACTTGAGCGTAATTAGTATCCTTTTTGACTGTTAGTTTTTGTTTGTATACTTGACAAGAAGTATTCCAAATAATTAATTAGCTTTGCGAAACTAACAACTAACTATATAACTTTCTGAAGAGAAAAAAGATTTCCCGTAAAAATATTAAATGTTTTGTTTCCCTTTTCAACCTTTAACAGAGACACCTACCATCTCAGGCTTTTCTGAAATTGAGAAGTTCTGTATTTAGAGAAGTACAACTTTATAAATTGAAATATATATTTTCTTCGGATAGGAAAATACCGAGTGTTCTGCAGTAATGGCCCCAATATAAATCTCTAGAATATTTGTAAGAACTGAAATCGGAAAACTTTGCTCAGTACTGTAGAAAAATTATATTTAAAAGAGAAAAAAAGACAAAAGTTATCTTCTCGGACAAACCATTTGCCACAGAAAGCGAGAGATAAGGCCATTTTGGACTTTTCTCAAAAACGGCATCTGAGAGATAAAAAACATCAAAACCTGTTATATTACTTGCGAAGCAATAGCAAAGAAAATGTGATTATTAGAGATTTTTTAATTTTGAACTGGAAATTTATCTAGTTTTGATGTTTTTAATTCTATTTTCTTCAATAATAATAAATTAAATTTCAATATTTTTTTCTTCTGAATTAAATATTTAATGAGCATAATATGAGCATAATTTCTCTTCAATTATTTGACCAGAAATATATATTTAGGCCTATTATCAAAGAACAAACTGTATATAACGATACGAGGATCAATAAAAACCTAAAAAATTATCCCCATATGTTCAATCTATACTTATATGAATTTCTAATATTATATCCACTTACAAAAGCAGTTTGCTCCATATCCAATACAGTATGTTTCCTATCTGGTAAAATGGCTGAAAAGGAAATAAAAGTATATTAATAACTAAATGTCTAACGAGAAAAGAAAGTTGCATATTTGTTTTTCAAATTTAAATTTGTTAATTTCTTCATAATCTAAAATTTAAAAATAAAAAAAAAAACTTAATTTTAGTAGAAAGTTATTTTATTTCTCTTATAATTTATTAGTAGACACATTCCTTTAAATTTGCTAATTTTTTTACTTATTTTAAAGACAAAGAAATGTTAAAAAATTGCTCAATTAGTTGCAGATTGACAATTATTTTTGAACCAAAGATTAAAATTTTGGCTAAACCTTATTAGCTATAGTAACTTGTAAAAGCTGCAGTAGTTAGCAAAAATAAATTTTAGTTTGATAGCAAGAAAAATAGCATCTGGAATTGAATGATGAACTAACAAAAAAATAATAAGTTGTAAATTAAAAATAGTGCCCAATATAAGGATGTGTAAATTTTACTTTTAATATATTAAGAAAATCATAGTTTATTGCGAGATTTTAATCTTATCTATTGATTAATTTGTCTTTTATATTGTAAAACTAATTAAAATATTTTGATTCTAGAATTTTGCAAAAGTTATTGACATAATTTTAAAAGTTAGTGCAAATTGAAAATATGTAACAAAAAAATGCTACAATAATTTTTATATCTTGATTAATATATTCAAATAAAATCTAATAAAATTTGTCAATTCCATAAAATATTTAAAATGAAAACTATCCCTAATTAGTTAACAGTTGAATAAATTTTTAATTACCGTTTTCAGAAATGACGCAGGACCCGATGGCACGATAATATCAACGCACATGGCTTGGTAATCGTACATTTTTACCCTAAAATAGAAAGAAAGCATTTAAATATGATGAACAACAAGCACCTAAAAATGTTTCAATATAAAATCAAATAACAAAAACAAAATTAATTTTATAATTTAAAAGTTACTTTCATTGGTTATTTTTTATAACTGTATTAGCCGAGGAAAAATTGTCATTAGAAATTAGTAATATCATTAGTAATATATTGTTAATTTATCTGAATAATGAATTCAATATTTGAAGCATAGCGATCGATGAATGATTATGAAAAAAATAATGATAAAAATAAGTCTTGTTCTTTTCCAGGAACTAATTCAGAGCACATAAAAAATAAATAAAGGTCTTTTGTATTAAGCTATTTTTAGCCAGATAAATATCTTTTTTTCGTGCAAAATTTGGATATTTACGTACTTTTGAAATGAAACATTCACATCCCAGATTAGATAATATCATTGGAAAATATGTATTATTTATTGTAATTTCACAGAATAGACTTAATTTTAATGTAATTATTTCATTTTAACATATATTTGTAAAAAGTAGTGCATGGAATTTTTATTAATTTATTATTACATTTAGAAATAATTGATTTAGGGAACACATTAATTCGCAACTCGCAATTATTCGTTGCAATTTTTTTGTCATTAAAGCTGAATACTTTTAAATCAATTGGAATATTGCTAAACAAAACCTGCCAAAAAAATAGTTTTAGTTAAAAACGTTTTCCATGAAAAACACGCAATAAAAATTAATTAAGAAGACAATACAGAATGTCAAAAAAAATCAATAAAAACTTGAAAATTATTTTAGATACAAAAACATGATTCTAAATATTGTATTTACTAAAACACCTACTAAATGAAAATGAATTAATAAGTAGTTAAGCAATTTCACACTTTTTTCATGACGGTTCAAAAAATTATTCTCTTGTCAAATTTAAAAACAAAGAAAAGCTACACTATCATTCGAATGCTTTACGTAAGTTGAAATTTTCAAAACTTAAAAAAAAGGGAAAACTAGCATTTTTTAAAAGTAATGCCCTTTTAGTTTTTATTCGTTGAAAATTTTGCATTGCATCTACAATTTTACATTAATTTTTATACATTAAAAGCTTTTTATACATAATGATTTTTTAAAATTTAAAATTTTGCACACATAGAAAAGCTGCTTCAGACTCCGTAAGAAAATAAATTATCATCAAATGAAGGAAAGAAAATAAAAATCATTTAACTAAATAATCATAAAGGAATATCATAAAGAATTTGTTGTATGAGAAGGTTTTTATGAGAAGGTACGAAAGAGAGGTTACATCTTCAATTTAACAATGGATATAAATGGAAAAGAATAATGGATTTTCAACAAAAAACTTGGAGTTCATTTTCTAGAATAATTTTCGACTTTTTCCTTAGTTGTCATTTCATTGTTTCTGCATTATAATTACAAATTTGAAAACAATTTATAAAAATTACTTACATTTTTTAATATTTCGGAAAACCTCTCGCCTAATGTGCTTAGAAATCTTAAAAATTTATTTTTAAATATTTTAAAGTAAGAAGTCAGTATTAAGTCAATTGTCAGATTATTGTAATTTTGCAGTTCAAAGGAAACTGAGGGGAGTTGGTAGTTGATATAAATAATCTGACAGTTGATATAAATAATAATATTGTTGTATTAATTTATTATATTTATCTTTAATATTATGTCATGTGATTTATTTTGCTATAATCTGAGCAGAAATTAATGTAATCCAGTAACATTTCCCATATTTGTGAAAATATTGAACATTGTAGTAATTTCGTTTAAAATGTTTTTCTTCTTCTTTCAAATCTATTTCTAACATTTTGATGATTGTAACGAATAAATTTAAAGCGAAATTTTTTCCCCTCCATTTTCGGCATGCTTTTCTAGAATATATTCCACAGGCAAGGAAGGGATAAGATCATAAAATGTGTAAGAAAATTTTTATTTTTAAATGGATTTTCCAAAAAAACACATTTCAAAAATTTATAATCTCCACTTTTCCAGAGGTGTTAAAGTTTTTGTAATGAAATTTCAGAGATATTACTCGAATGGTAAATTTTATTTTGGGGTAAACTCGTTCTGGTTATGATATAAATCCTAAGATTTGATAAATCTTAGGATTGATCATCAGAACTTTTATTTAACATAAACGCTGCAGCAAGAATGCATAACCTTCAAACGCAAAAATGTTGGCAAAAATACTGGGAATTGCGAAAATGTGATAACAAACAGCAGGACGAAGGATTTTTCGTTTTAAAGATGAAATATTAAGTTTATTTGAACAAGAATATGCTTATATTGACAAACAATGAAAAAAATTCACACAATGGTGTGTTTTAGAAGTCAAGCTACTTCTAAAGGCTTTTGTGCTTCGAAAGTACTTTAATTGCTATCACTCTTACTGCATGCTTCCAGTAAAAACGGCAATACAGTTTATATATATATATATATATATATATATATAAANGCAATATATATATATATTGTTTTTGGGTTTATCTTATAACCGTCATTGAGCAGCCGACCCAATTTGGAATTTACGACTACCAATGTTCAACTCCATAGCAGTATTATTCTGAACCCAATCCAGAAGGCAAGGAAATTACTGCTTCAAGTATTAAGAGAAATTTACTTTCGTGGAGGACTTTTTTTTTTGATGGATCTAGTTGCATTTGCGTTACATAGAGAGACAAACCAAGAAAGCTTCCTACGGGTAGCCTAATGTCAAGGAAACTCTAAACCATAATCAGTCAACCACTCAAGATATTTTATTTCTGCGTCGTGGTTGATGCGAGCCGGGTGCGGAATTCTTACGGACCAGTCATCGCTGGGATTCAAACCCGGGCCTGCGCTCTTTCCCCTGAGCCTCCAAGGCTAAACTAGAACATTTTTGCGGAAATTTCTGTTCCTATATTGACAGTTTTTAAGAAATTAAGTCACAGTTAGGAAAATGTATAGGAGACTCCAAGAGCATTTCAAAATGGGAACAATTATAACTTTAAAAATTAAGAACCAGATTAAATTATTCATTGAAGAAAATTTGACAAGCTTTTAATGCACTATAAATTTGAAATAGTTCATTTATCAATTGAAAGCTTTGAGCTAAAATAATTAATTTGTCAATTGAAGGGCAGTATTAATAAACAAGAATTAGAGATGAAGGAAATACTTATAAACGGAATTGTTTTATCAACTTCTAACTGTCTATTAATAAACTATCTATGTCTATTAATGAGCTGCTATCTATGTATATTAATGAGCTGCGTCATCAATTTAATACTTTTAATATTTACAGCATATAATTATTAGTTCAAGTGTATCGCAAAAAGATTTTTCAAGCAATTGCTGGAAATATATAGAAGGATTTAGTTTAGCTATACAGAATAATTGTCAAAAATGTTTAAGCTATTACCTCACACCAGTCGTTCTAATTTTGCTCAATGTTTGAATGTAAGTAGATAAAATTAAACAATTTTATACTTACCTGCGGAAAATTTTTCCATGGATCATCGAGTCAAATAGGACGTTATCTATTTCTCCAAAAAATTTCCCCGTCTGTTGAATAAATAAAATGCATTTGTAACAATTGCGCTAAAGCGAAACACGAGATTAAAAATAAAATGCAATAAGAAGTTATCTTTAAAAAGACAAATTAATGTTCTGTGACACACTAAAAGATTTTGAAAATTTTTCAAAGGAATTATAGAAAATGTACAAGGGAATATCAGCTTCATTTTTCCCAAGAGAGGTAAATTATTTGAAACAGAAAATGGGGAATTTAAATAAACAAAAAAAAAAATGATGTAAAATAAATTAGATCCTTTAATAGAAAAAAACAGGAAAAAAGGAAAAAAATTAACATAAAATTTATAATTAAAACAAATTATAATTAGAATTTTACCGTTTTATACTTTTGATATTTTAAATTTTGAATACAATTATTTTCCTTTTAATCTAAAGAATTTTTACATTTTACATAGTTTACTTATTATGACCAGCCAGTAAAACTTTAGTAGAATTTAGTTGAAATTATGTCATAAAGATGAAAGATTACATTAAAAAAAATTAAATTTCATTCAAGAGAATTTTATAAACAAATTTGAAGGAAAAAAAATCATTATCGTATAAAACTGGCTGATAATGTCTATAAATAATGGGCTAGTGCTTTCATCAAATATTTGATATTTATGTTCTAAAAAAAGCTACTTATGCTACATTTTTGATAGTTTACTTTTATTCCTTCATTAATTACTTAATAAATAATTGCCGTTAACTACTTTATTAATACAATTATTTTTCACAGAGGAAAAAAATGGGGATTAAGCGTAACATATGATTTTTGTTATAATTTTTTTTGTTGATGCGAATGTTATCTGTATGAAAAACGTTTATAAATTACTTCAGAAAGAAAAACTTTTCTAATTAATACGGAAAGCCTCTATACAGTGTAAAATACAGTGCTGCAGTGGTAATACAGCCTCTATACAGTAGCGGTGTTAACAATCTGCAGCTTATAAGTAAAATGCAGTAGAAGTAAAAGAATGTTTTTACATGATACGATTTCAAAATTTTGTTAAGTAGAAGAAAAATTCAATCGCAATTTTTTTAAGCCTTTCAAATACATAAGTTATTTAAACAAACTGTCATCAGAACATCTTCATCTTTTACGAAATGAACTGAAAGATTTCCGTTTTCCAGATATTTACGATATCTTCCCCTCTTTCAAAGATTTGCGAAAGCTTCCAAAGGCTCCAAATTTAAGGTTATCACGATACTCCAGCCATGGCCCTTTTGTACTAGATTATGTGGCTGGTCATGCTCCGTTTGTAATACTGTATTGGTTAAGTAATACACGAAACACTTTCGTTAGGTTCGTGATGTTTAAAACATTTCCGAGACAACATTAAGAGGTTTTATAAAAGTGGTAATTTCAAGGTTTAAAAATGCTTCTGGGACTTGATTAAATTGATTGTAATTGATTAAAAACCAAAGCAAAATATTTCTGATGTGTCAGTGGAATTTTTTACGTGTTATGGGTTGATGCAAAATTTTTACACATCTATTTTGCAATTAAATTTCAATATACACTCCGCTAAAACTGAAAATAGCTATAATCCAGCTTTATTTAGTGGTTTAATGTTGTAAAATGATGAAAGAAATAACCTAAGCTTCTCAAACCTTTTGTTTCTTAACTGAATTTCTTTTTTTTAAATTGTAGGGTTTATTTTTGTTTTTTACTAATATGGTATAGTTGCGTTTCTGTTAACATTGCAGGTTACATTAGTAGAGAAAAAGTATTTTATTTCTTCATTTAATTGACTATAAATTTTTATTCATTATTTAAGGAACAAATCATCCAAATAGATATTATTTATTTATTGAATCTCGAATAGAAAATTGAAAGGAATATATTTGGAAAACACTACAATGGAAATCGAACTAAAACTAAATATCTCGTTACTTTTGACAAGAACAAGACTAAAAATGCCTTTTTTTATTTTAACGGATAACAGCAAAACACGTATTTGTGAAAAGTTTAACGTGATTATGGTGAAATCCATGTGATACCGTTATTACTGACATCTAGAAACTAAAACATACTCAGAAAGCTTATTTTAATTGCTTCATTGTTTTGAGCAGGAAACTGTCTTTAAATACATTAATTTAAGTTCTCTAACTTGGATTCAGATTGAGAGAAAATATTGATCTTTTAAAGTCATAATTCTTTTTAATAAAATCTACATTTTATAACAGAAAATACTCAACAACTTGTCACATAATTGCCAGATAAAAGAAATTTTATACGTTGAAAGGGTTGTATCCTGTTTTGATATATATATATACATATATAATTTTATTTTTTTATGACGAACAGTTAACGGAATACTTTTAATTATAATTATAGAAATTTACTCCTTAAAAGCAATTAATATCTAAGGGATTTTGAAATTTTTAGTAAGTAAATGAACATAAATTACTTTTACTAGTAATAAGCTGTTCAATAATTTTTCTTTAAATAACTTTAATGTGTGCCAGATTTGAAATAAACTTTTTTCTAAAAACCTTACCTCAAAAATCAATACGACTTTTCAATCACAAGCTTCTGATACTTCTGACAGATAAGAATATTAAATAAAATTATAAATGTAATTTTGAAGATATACTGAGATTTTTAGGATTTTATAAAAAGTTTATTTTATAATAATAATATTTTTAAAGTCTTAAAGGATATAAATCTCATTGAATTCAATTGGAAATTGTAAGAATTCGTAATTCTTTGCAAAATTTGCAGAGTAAAATCTTGCTTTTTGATAAAGTCATTTTATATATTATTAATAAATATGTTAAATAAGATCAAAAAAAAATTCTGTAATACATTTAAAAGTGAAAGATAATTTAGTATAATACTGACATCTTATTGGGATTATATATTATAATTAAGATATCATAAATTCGAAAAAAATAATAAATAAATATTTGAAAATCAATATCGGCAAAATTTTATCAGTTTAATCTTATCGGCTTATTTTCCTAAACATTCACATGTTCTAAAAGCTGAAACTCACAAAATCTACCTTAATTTCTCAATAAGATTGAATGAGAAGTTAAACAAATAGTAAATCTACCAATTACGCCTAAATTAGGTAATGTATTATGTCTAAGTAACTTCAGATTTTACAGCAAAAATTAATATTTCTAGCTCTAAATTGTGTTATTAATCCCAAAATTTTAATTTAAATTAAATTTATTAAAATATTTACATGTTTCTTTGTGGCCAACTCTGTAATAAATTAAATAGCAATACTATTATAAAAATAATTTACACTATTTTACGCTTTTATAACAATTGAAAAAGATTTAAATTTCTAAATATCAAGCAAAAAAAAATCTTAAAAATCTCAGTTTAATTTTTGCAAGAATAATTTTGATTAGATTATTATAGAAAATTTCTTACCTTGTTTTTGAAAATTCTCTATGAACAGTTAAGATTATCAGAATAAACTTTCAACGTTTCTTAAAATGTGCTCAGTAGAGTTTTGTAAATTTTTTTTTAAAAAAATGACAGTGAATCATTAAAAATAAAACTAATTTGTAAAGTATTTTAATAAGTCAGTGAAAAAGTTTTCGCTCAGCACTGAAAATAATATGAAAATAACGCTTAATTAAATCTACTATTAAACCTGAAACTATTATTGCTATAAGCCTCATTGTTGGATAAACAACTCTGATTTGTGAGAGAAGGCATTATTATTCTAATTTTGGTCAAGAGCAACATGCCAAAGATGTACATAAGTTCATCGCTATTTAATAAATAAATTCAATATGTTAGTGGTAATGTTTGAAATACAGTATTCTATAGAGTAATTAGGCATTTTATCGAATGAAAAAAACTAGCTGGCAAAGTATGAAACGTTTAAACATTTCTTTTATTGCTTAGGCTTCCACTAGAATATCAAAAGAAAAACTGAGATTATTAAAAATGCCTTGGTATCCTATAGAATGCTTGAGTTTTCAGCATTGCTCGTAACATAGGACAGTCTTTCATTTTGTTTTGTTCTACACAACGTTTGGATTTTTGAGAAATAAATATCTTTTCAAAAAGAGTTTTATCATGACCTTTTTTATGTACTTTTCCTAAGGAGACAGTCATTTTATAAAATGTTTAGGAATTATTCACAATGCCGAAGTAAAATATAGAATAATTCTTAGTTTTCCTTTTTTGCCTGAAAATACCAGTCTCTCAATTAAATGATTTTGTATTTGATGGAATGCTGGCGTTTCGTACATTGATGGTTACAAACAAATCAATGATTCAATTACGAATTTGTAACAAATATTTTTTAACCCACGCGTATTCTGAACAAATAGGCTTTCAAAATAAGATTTCCTTAAATTTTTAGAAATCTTTTTTTATTTTAAATTATAATTAATGATTTTAGATAGAACGAAGTTGTACCTAGTTTGTGCGAAGTAAGCATGTTGGTTAAGGTCTGTATAACAGAAATTTAAATGAGGTAGAGAGTAATTTCCGGTAATTAATAATTAGAAAGTGCAAGAAATTTTTTTTTCACCAAACTATTTAATTAAAAATCTCTGAATTCTCGAAAAGATTTAAATTTAGACTGACTTTAAAGTAGAAAATTTAATTTCTTAAAATTTTATTTCTTTATTTTAACAATTAGTATTATTTTGAAGTAGTTGCCATTTACAAAAGTAACTTTTTAAAGAATTCAAAAGCATTTTAAGAACTATGAATTTAACTACAGCATCTGATAAGTTATGTACTGCCATCTGGTGTATATATTGAGAAATAAACATGGTTCCGGACATACAAAACATATATTTTGTTTTCTTATCTTTTTTGGCGCGTTACTTTTGAGCACTTCTGCCCAGAAATATGGCAAGCACGGAAAATAGGCGGCAAAAATTCTCCCCATCATTTTCACGGGAAAGAAAAGTGAGGGGTTAAATTACATAAAATTTTTGTTTGTGCGACAAATACACGTGTGACGAAAAATTCATTGAATAGTGAAAGTTGATGCAATTTTTTATTA